GGCAAAGACAAAAAGGGTGTCTTCCAAAGACCGACTTGGTCCTGCCCTCTAAACAGATCGACAAATCTTCACTCCCCTCAACGCCGCTGTTGGGTACATCCTGTTCCAGATTCAGGATGACCCTGCAATAAAGTGGTCAGAGAGAATGAAATCTCCCCCGAATCGCAGGAACTGGAACAAATATTGTCATTTCTATCGCAATCACGACCATAACACCGACGACTGTTATGACCTAAAAAGACAAATTGAGGATCTCATACAACGTGGTCATCTACGCTAGTATGTTTCTAGTAAGGGTCAAGTATCGCCACTGCCTCATAATCAGGAGGACTAGGAACCCAGTGGAGAAATTCAAAAAATCTCTAGAGGGCTCGTAGGAGGAGGAGAATCTCTCTGTGCCATGAAAGCTCATGCCAGAAAGGCTAGGCACATTAATGACTTGCGCCTGTCCAAGACACGCAAGCAAGTAAGTGACCAGGTCATATCTTTCTCAGACAAGAATTTGGAGGGAATCCAGCACCCCCACAATGACCCGCTGGTGCTAACCATGACTGTCGCCAACTTCTAGGTACGAAGGATTCTGGTAGACAATGACAAATATGCGGACATCTTGTTTCCAGAAGCCTATGAGAAAGCTCAACTTGGGGAGATAAAGATTACAACCCATCAGGTCACCTCTTATCAGATTCTCTGGAGATAAGGTTTACCCCATAGGATCCATCACCTTGTCGATCACCACTAAGGTAGCACCTCAAAGCTCCACGATCATGGTAAATTTCTTGGTGATAGACTGTCCGCCAGCTTACAACGTTATCCTCAGGCGACAAACTCTTAACACCCTAAGATTCGTGCCCTCAACCTATTATTTGATCCTCCGTTTTCTAATCCCGAATGGAATCGAAGAGGTTTGGGGAGACCAGTTTGTTGCAAGACAATGCTATGTCTCCTCAATGAAGACCAAGAAGCCCTACAAGTGGAGGTCCTCAACCCAAGGGATGCTGCCACATTAGAAAGAGGAGAGCCAGTAGAGGTGCTCAAACCAGTGGTCCTAGATCAGGAGCATCTAGAAAGAAGAATGTGCATTGGCTCTTCCCTTCCTAAAGATTTAACCCGCTAGCTTATAGATTTTTTTAGATGTAGTATGGATGTTTTTGCATGGTTGCATGAAGACCTCGAGGGTATCGACCCTAAGGTCGCCACCCGCCTCCTCAATGTCGACCTTTATTATAAACCTGTTCGCCAAAAACTAAGGAGCACCTCCACTAAAACGACACAAGCGATGGACAAAGAGATGGGAAAATTGATAAAAAATGGGGCAATCAAAGAAGTGGCCTACCCAGTATGGCTCTCAAATGTGGTGATGGTGCTAAAGCCAATGAAAAATGGCGCCTCTGTGTTGACTTCACCGAACTCAACAAGGCGTGCCTTAAGGACAGCTACTTGTTGCCACGAATCGACCTTCTCATCGACGCCACTGTAGGACATGAATTGATCACCTTCATAGATGCATACTTAGGATATAACCAGATCAGCATGCACCCTCTAGACGAGGAGAAGATGTTGTTCATCACTCTGAAGGGAACTTTTTGTTACAAGGTCCTGCCCTTTGGATTAAAGAATGTCGGAACAACCTACCAACGGCTGGTGAACAAAATGTTCTATCTCAAATCGGGAGAACAATGGAGGTATACATAGACAATATGTTGGTAAAAAGCCTCACCGCAACAGGTCACATAGACTACCTTCAAGAAGCCTTCGATGTTCTCAGGTCATACTGCATGAACGCTGAACCCTAAGAAGTGCGCATTTGACATTGGATCAGGAAAGTTTTTAGGCTTCATGGTCAACCAGAGGGGAATTAAGGCGAATCCTGACAAGATTAAAGTCATCCTAGACATGAAATCACCCACCACAACCAAGGAACTCTAGCGCCTCAACGGAAGAATTACAGCACTCAACAGATTTGTCTCTAAGTCTGCAGATAAGTACTTACAATTTTTCAAGATTCTCCGAAAAGCCTTTGAGTGGGGACCTGAGGCAGAAGAACTTTTCAAAAGCTCAAAGGTTACTTGGCTACGCCTCTCCTCCTTTCATATGCTACACTAGGTGAAACTCTATATTTGTACATTTCTACTTCCTCATCGGCAATAAGCTATGTCCTCATTAGAGACAACGAAGGAGTGTTAAAACCTATTTATTATGTGAGCAGGGCATACCGAGGAGTAGAAATAAGATATTCAGGGCTATAAAAGCTAGGGCTCGCTCTGATCTCAACATCAAGGCATATCCAACATTACTTCGAGAGTCACACCATTGTCGATGTCACAGACCAGCCTCTAAAGAGGGTTCTGGGGAAGTCAAACGTCTTTGGAAGACTCCTTAAGTGGGCAGTAGAGCTGGGTGAATTCAATGTCTAGTACTAACCAAGGGCAATTATTAAAGCACAAGTCTTAACAGACTTTATTGCGGAGCTCACACCAGCAGAGGAGGAGGGCAGGGGACCCTCAACACCTCAAGAAGCCTCACTAGAAACTTACCTGAACACTCAAGTGCCAAGGCCTGGCACCCAAAACAATCTGGGCATCTAGTTGCCCAAGCCAGGTGCCCACCACGACCTCCAAGGCCCCCTTTCAAGTGCCTCCTTGGAAGCTCTACGTGGATGGCTCCTTGACCAGCGAAGGAGGTGGAGCTGGCCTAATCCTAATCAGCCCCGACAGCACTCCCATCAAACACACTGTGAAGCTCCACTTCACCACCTCCAACAATGAGGCAGAATATAAAGCCCTTTTATCCAGCATAAGATTGGCAACTGAAATGGAAGTCCAACATCTCATTGCTTATAGTGACTCTCAGTTGATAGTCAACCAAGTGAAAGACGAGTTCCAAGCAAAAGGAACTAGAATGCAGGAGTACCATGCCATGGGTGTAGGCCTTGCTTAAGAAGTTTCATCACTTTCAGATCTATCACATCCCGATGGAAGACAATATGGCTACATATGCATTTGCTACGCTCGCCTCGTCCTCGGAAGCCCTACCAGGACCAGCATTCATTAATCACCAGCTCGAACCAAGCAGACTAGACGTGGATGCCATTAGCGTTAACCATGTATCTGTCGAATCAAACTAGATGACCCCAATAAGGGCATCTCTCCAAGAAGGCGCATTTCCAGATGACCTATTGGAAGCCAAGAAGCTCAGGATGAGAGCCTCCAAGTTCACTATCCTACATGGCGTCATATACAAGAAAGACTATTTCTTGCCTTTGCTATGATGCCTCTCCCTAGATGAAGCTAATTACGCCCTACGGGAAATCCATGAAGGAGTTTGTAAAACCACTCTAGAGGTCGCTCCCAAGCTCACAAGGCACTCAGGTAGGGCTAATTTTGGCCTAGCATGGTCAGAGACGCCCAAAAGTACACTAAGAAATGCGACAAGTGCTAGCGCTTCGCCACGATGCTGGGACAGCCACTAGAAGAACTAACAACCATCACAAGTCCATGACCCTTTTTCAAATGTGGCATTGACATCTTGGGCTCTCTACCTACGAGCAAGGGATAGTGAAAGTTTGTGGTGGTAGCCATCGATTACTTCACTAAGTGGGCGGAGGTCAAGCCCTTAGCGAAGATAACAAACACAAAGGTCAAGAACTTTATCTGCAAGAACCTGGTTTGCCACTTCAGAGTACCCTACGCCATATTCAGTGATAACGTTAAATAATTTGACAACAAGCTCTTGAACTCGTTCTGCGCCGACCTCCAGATAAAGCAGCCTCATTCCGGCCCAACGCACCTGCAGGCAAACAGACAGACAGAGATCATTGTTAGAACAATACTACGCAGCCTAAAGACAAGACTCGAAAGAGCGAACGGTCTCTGGGTTGACGAACTCTCGGGTATGTTATGAACCTACCGAATGACGCCAAGAGCTCTAACTGGAAAAACTCTATTTTTCCTCGCCTTTGGAACTGAGACAATCATACCTGCGAAGATCGGAGCTTTTCCCCAAACCCAGTCTCGCTCAAAACTTAATTCCATAACCCAGTCACTTTTAAACTTAATTCTCAAATCCAGTCTTTTTTAAAAAACGTTATTTGAAATGAAGTCTTCTCCCCCTAAAAACGTCATTTGAAATTTTTTTTTCCTAAAACGTTGTTACAAATGATGTTTTTAAAGTCGTCATTTAAAATGACGTTTTGTAACAAGAATTTTTAACGGAGGCTAACTGACGTTTAAAAAAAATTAAGGGGTTAAAAACGTCATTTACAATGACGTTTTATTCCTTTTTTGTTTAAACACGTTTTCTACCCCTTAGCATTTATATTGACATTTTCTATCCTTAAGCCTTTTACATTGATGTTTTCTACCCCTTAGCCTTCATTGACGTTTTTTTAGCCAAAAGTCTCCAACCACCCACTTGTAATAAATTTCATAAAAGCTAAATAATCCCACCTTATGTCTCACATCATGATTCACTAGACAAAAAATAAAAGATTAAATAAATTTTAGAATTTAATTCCATTTTCATAAAAATTTTGAACTTATTTTATAATCAAAAATAAAATTCATAAAAGCATAATTTAATTTCATATTTTTCAATATAAAAACATATTAGTAAAACATATATTTAATAAAAAAACTTAAAAAGAGTGTTTTGAAAACACATTTCTATATCAAAAAATATGTTTTGTATATGTTAAAAATCTCAATATTATAATCTCACTTATCACGTCAAAAAAACATCCCAATCTGGAGGAGCCTGAGGGTATTGTAAACTGTGGTGATAAGAAAAATTGTGGTGTTCAAATTCTTCAATGATGTATCTATCTACTGTTTGCTGTTGCCTGAGGGAATTGTAACATCCAAGTATGAATATTTATAAGTACTTAGCATTTCTTGTATGTTTATGCTAAAATATTGAGCTATATCACCCTATATCTGTAAGAAAGATATTGTTGTAAGATCTCAATTTAAATTATCAGTAATGAATTGTGAATATGAAAATTAATCAAGATAGAGTGAATCACATTTCTCTACAATAGACTCCAGTTCTACAAGTTCATATAAATTACCACGGCTGCTGAAGGCAGCTTGAACCCCACTCCTCTCCAATTCTCCTATCCCTCTGTAGTAATAAGTATAAGCCATTTAATTTCTTTTCTAAAAGCCTCTACTGGTGTATCTTTGAATCCATTTTGAGTGCAGGAGATTCAAGAATAAGCGACTGAAGCTTTTTGTAGTAATTTTCCAAAAGATGCCATCCGACCTCTGATCATGCAGATCAGCTGTGTGGGAACTGGACTCCGCATTATGATTATGTTCAACTGATTTGTTTGTCAGCTTATCATTGAACAATTTCAGTGCACTTGTCGTTGAAAGAGAATGCACGGATTCATACAAGCATAGGAACTTGTTTCTCTTTTCCTGCATTCCAACCAACCTTTCACTCAATCCATCCAGAAGGCAATCTAGAGCACCGTGTCAAGGTTACACAAGAAGAAAGCAATAATAAAACATTGGAACCAAAATAAGAAAACAGGAAACAAAGTCTATTGTAAAGCAAAATAAAGTCCAATTTCTTGCTTACCTAGTAACGCCTTTGACAAAACCCCAGTTGAACCCAACAGACATGGATTCCCTGAAGCCAATATTAAACCCCTCTTGTGCAGATGCTTCTTTCCCCATCATGAGACCATCACGATATCCAATCTAGTAATCCATCAAGAATGACACAACATTAGCTGAAAAAATAACATATAATTCGAGTGTCGAAAAAATTAATTCCATTATATTAAATAACATTTATTTTTCATTCTTTAATTATATAATTTGAAATTAATTTCTATATATTCTTTTTTAAAACAAAAATCAATAAAATTTTCTCAAAATACATATTTTCAAAAAAATTTCAACATATACACGTTATCGTATACGAACAATGTTCAGAATAAAAACAGCATTTTTTAAAATAGAAATCAAAGAAATATTAGCACATGTACACTATCGTCCATGAAACACAAATTATATTGAGTTACAAATTAATCAAAATGTACGACATATGACTAACCACTGTGTTAAACTGCCAGAATCATTACTGAAACAAAACACCATGAAATGGAATCATAGCATGGATTGGTTCACATTACAGTTTGCTGTCAAAGCTAGTTATACTTCAAAACTACATTGTACATATATCAATTTGGTTTGTGTAAATATAACTTAACAAAATTGTGCCCAAACCCATTTCGCCTCTGCTTGACATTTAGAGAAGGCTTAGCTGAGTCTTTTGTTTGTAGTCGACTGCTCTGATAAATACCTATACGACAGTAAAAATTCTCAAAACGCCTGTGATGTGAGCTTCAACAGGATGAACCGATGTACTGAAAAATTAAAATTTGCGTCCAATCTGCTTCACCTAGCCTTACATACCACATTTTGAATGGTGTGGGTAAACAATTTTTTTCAAATATAATATTCATGTACGGCATATTTACAAAAAAGCTAGGAATTGATTTCTCATATAGATTCAAGGATTTTAACGGGTTGATTTCGTGATGATCCCCTAAACAAATTATAGAGGGATTTATGTCTCCCCTTTCGGTCATCATTGTGGATTAAACCATGTAAAGGCAGATGCAGAGAAACAGCAGGAAGTGTACGCTGGCTGCATGGACTCAGATTAAAAAATTGTTTGTCATGTTGAATTTATTTAGAGTTCCCATCTTCACAAGCCTATAGTGACAACAAGAATTTATAAAACGACTGGATTCAAATAAAACCCATAAATTTCCACAATTCTCTCGGTCTACCACCTTGTCAAAATCATTCAACTAAACCAATTCCATCAAATTCAAAAACACATAACATATAAAATCACACCCACACACGTACATACATATGGAATGTATATACCGACCAGTA